CCGATTTCTTGTGTATACTGTATTGACTATAGCGATACTTTAACGAATGTGCGTTGATCGATGTCGCTTGACACATGGTTACTATTAAAAAGTTGGTCGCGGATTCATCGCGAATAAAATATCAAAAGATATTTTGAAAACGATTGGTCAATAGTTTAGGTCCCGAATTAAAGTTGTAATCACAGTTGATGGTAATAAAGCTGTTAGAACTTACACTTCCAGCGCATACAACATTTTCTTAATTATCTGTTTTTTATTTAGATACAGTTTTAGAAACAAAGCATAAGACAATCTTTTAAATTTAAACGTGCCATTCTGTTTCTTTGAAATAGACACCATTCAGGTCAAAGTAGACGGTCTATGACTATAGGAATAACTATTTTGTTTTAAATGTATTGGCTATATAAGGGAAACAACTTGTTTCCCGCTCGTTGTCTCCAAATTGTATAACGTTGCAACATATTTAAATAAATATCACTTCATTGAATTCCATGCACATTCCAAGGCATTTGTTGTGAATGGGCAACAAGATATCAAAGCGAAATTCTCTAATGATTCACATCTACTATCATAATATTCAAATTAACTCAAACTGATCAAAAATTGTATCTCAACTGTATTTTTTCAAGATTTAGGTTCCAAAAAACAGCACTGTTAGAAATATGGGCAACAGAAAATGGGAGGAAATCGTGTATAGAAATCGATTCAGATGATACAGTTGACGATTCAGATGACGTAGCGCGTCAGAGGAAGTGGGGAATTCGACTCAGATTGATTGAGCCAGTTGATTCTCTTTCATCGGCTTGTAGAACTGTAGTACAATTCTTAAATAATAAGAATAAAAAGTTTGCTATTTCATCATGGCCCTTATTATTTATTGGAACTTTAATACTTGCTCAATTCTGCTCTATAAGCTCGGTTCGAAAGGAAGAAAGCAGAACACCTTTCAAAATATTCCATAAAATTTTTTAAAAATAAGTGCAGAAGTTAGGTTGAAAAAGTGGTTTTAAAAAATAATTAAAAAAACATATTAATCAAGGAGCAGAATCGGAGATGCAAACAATAACACAGTATAGATGTATATGTATAGTATATATATTGGTATAGTTTTCTCCTCATATTTCCGCATATGGACAGTAAACTACACCGCTGCTGCAAGAGTGTTCTTTACCAGTTTTTTTAAGAACAGATTAAAATCAGTTAGAAAAAACCCAAAATCAGCTGCTAGCTAAATCGGAAGCTGCTCTAAAACAATAGTCGTCAATGTTTTAGCGCAATGTTTACGTCAACCAAAATTCAAAAATCCTCAAAACACTATCAGTTTTTATCATCTGATTCTATACACATCTTATACCAAGTATCTTTAAATATAAGTCTGTGCTTCCTGGCAAAGTTTTCAGAATATCTACCTACTATCTGATACGTAGACTTCCGACACGTCTAATCAAAGTCGGGAAAAGCAGCGCCAAAAACGTTTTAGAGACTCGTTCTACAAATGTATGCTCTTCTCTTGTCAGAATTGATTCGAACCCATTTTGGTGTATAGAAGTCAGTCTAAAGAATTATCGTTTGTACCGACTATGAAATTTTAGAATCACTGAGAAATAATCCGTACATTTAGTCGTTTTCTATAGACAGTTTAAAGTAATGGTCAGGATAAGTAGACGCTTTTCTAAGAATGGGTCACTTACCAATTCTTGATTTGAGATAAAATTGTTCCCAGTGGTTCGTAGGTAGGATAATGGGGCTCAGTATTGATATTTATAAGACAATAATTGCTTCCAGGGAAATTTGCATCCCCAAAGAAGGCTTTAGCATGACCAACTCTCTGCTAGAACAAGCTTACATGTGGTAGTCCAATTAACCAAACCTGTAGTAACCTAATGTCTGGTATAGGTTGATCGAGGTTATAATTACGCTTAAATGAACGCACTTCCAGTATACTTGTAAGCGATGCACTAGATTTTCCTAGTTCCTGGGAATACGTGTGTCGATCTCATCCTTGTTTACTTCTCCCAACCAGCGAATTCACAATAACATACGTAGCTTTAAAGCTTAGCACAGTTCTACGACGTGATGGATTAACTCACATAATCTTATTCAGCCTTCAATCACCTAAAGTCAGCATCTGTGTCTTGTATGGACAATGGAGGACCGAATGATGTTTGCGCGAAGCCGGATCGTCTGAAAGGCCCTCTACCTGTTTCTCGCCTGAGCGCTTCGTCTTCTTATATGATACTGCATATGCGCCAACAGTAAACAGCGTCTTTCTTGCTGTTAACCCATTAGCAATGGGAATGCCATGAAGCACTATAACAACACTATGGTGAAAGAGCTCCCTTGCCAAACCATTTTAAGAATGCTTCCGCTTCTGAACTTGCTGGTATAGCAAAACAATAATTTTCGGGTACTCGAAGTCGTTCATTTAACTGCTTATAGCAGCATCGAGAAAGAAGTAGATCGACCTGTAGGCGTTCTGCTACCAGCTACTTTTTTATTAAAGCGATTTGGGCATAGCCGTACTTGATTTGTAGTCAAAACTTCACAACCTATATATGTATACATATATATGTAGGCCAGATTTTATTTTTTAAAGATTTAACGAGCGTTAAGAAGAATAAGGACGGCGGAACAAACAATTGTTCTATTGTATTCTTAAAGGGCTCCTTTATGTTGCGACATACTCACTCTGTTATCGTGCACTGTTAAGAAAATACTCATGAGAGACACTAATGTTTTTGGCCTATATCTTCATAAGGTGGAATTAGGACCCACTAGTGTGTGAAACTAGCCATTCAGCAAAACTCAGAAAAATCCGTGGTCTTGGCTAGAAAAGACGATGCCTCATAATAATGTAAGGTTAAGCTAGTTGACTAAAAGTATGATTCGTCTACCATTTGTTTTTAGTCTATCGTACTATCGTACAATGTACTATCGGAGACGAGACTAAAGAGACGAAACTGCAACAAGGAAATCAACTGTCAGAGAATGCAAAGAAACACTTAACTGGTCCAAGCGGCCTTGTTTTTTCTAATTTAGCAAAACAATCTAGAAGTCTGGATTATGTCAAATTTCGGGCTCATCTACATCTAAACAATCATAAATATTTAATAATATTATTTCTTACAAACAACGTTTCCTTATCGAAAATATGGAGTGGCCCACATAATTTCGTGCCATATAATTTTACCATTTCCTGAGTACTATGAAACTTTTTATCACACTGTGTGCACTACAATAAAGCTCTATTATATTGTCATGATTGATGTCATTGAAACATTGCTAACGGTCTTATTTACAGGAGAGCATATTTCTTTGTGGCTTATATAGAATCTTAGAGTGGTCCTTTCCTCGTCAGGTGTTCAATTCTAAACCAGGTCCGCTTTTACCGTACATGGTCATGTTATTTTTGAATTCGTAGTCCCAAAATGCCGGCTCCAAGTAAGTTTTAATAGTAGGGACATCCCTGGCTTAAACTCCTCTGAAACCGCCTTTAATAGGATTTGTACTAGTACTTATTTATTTGATAAAATAATATCATTTCAATCTGCGAATTGGAATGATCTTATTTTGCTACCGACACTTAACACGGTAGTATATATATGCATATATGTTTGCTTGATCTGAACTATAAAATTTCTATATAATGACAATTTCTATATAATAACAATGAGGCAAAAACTGTATGTCATCGAATCGGCTCATTTGGTGTCTGCCTTGCGTTTACTAATGATTTTTAGGTCGCTATGGATTTTGCTATGCACATCACCGTAGTGTGGTTTAAAAGTTCGGCTATTTTATATATATGATCAAATAATTGCAAAGCAATGTCATGTAGCAATTTTCTTATTTTTATTGTATTTTTTTAGCATTTGGCCGCCGGTTATCTATAGTGCTCACGGAAATATCATTTAGGTCAGTTGTATAACTAACAGTGTTTTTAAAAACATTGACGTATTCTGCATTAAAACAAAACTACTCGCGTTTTTAGGATTTAAAACTCCAGTCTAAAAATTAGAATATGCTTAGATAAACTAATTGTTACGTTCTTTCTTACCCATTTTTACTTATAAATAGGAATGTTACAATGTTCTAAAAACTAACGCCGTAGGATCAGCTTGAACTACACAGGTCTTATCGCATTGTCTTAGTCTTCCACGAGAAATTAATGCCAGTTACTGCATAACCAGTTGGCTGCACATTTTTATTTTCTAAAACGATGTTCAGAACATTTTCCAAAATAGGCGGGCATCATGCTTTTTTTATACCTCGGGAAGTCCTCAAATCCTACACCCTTTCCCTTTTCTCTCAATAATAGCAGTAGAAGAAAGGGTAAAGGCATGTCAAATACGAGACACAGGGCAGAGAGAAAGTAGATCACAGCTTACAGAGGGGGAGGGGTGGTCGCGATGGCTCCTCTTCTCTCGATAAGTAGGAATGCTTGGCCTAGTATGGCCTAGTCAAAGGGGAGCCGCGATATATTCCTTTGACAGCCTTAGTAGATCAGCTACAGGGTGACTTGTTCTGTTAAGGGAAAAAGATTGCGAAGAAACAGAGGCCGCTGAAGTATTGCTGGCGGTGACGGCGGTGTTGATCATAGTGCCGCACCATGACGACGGTGTGTAGAGCAAGTTCATTGTGTTCGTGTATCTCTTTCTATCTACGGTGTATGAGTGAATATGTATTCGTTCATTCGTCTGTGTGTATGTGTTTGTTGGAGAGGGAAGAGGGTTTGTTGGAGTTTGATCGTTGGTGGTACGAAGGAGTAAACCCCCCGCTCTCAGTATCCTCGAAAACTCCACTCACTTTTACATACGTGCCTTCGTTTGTTCGTCCTCTTGTTCATGGTTACATGCACACACACGCAGCGTCCGCACAGCCACATACACTCGATTCACTCACGGCTTCTCCGTTATCCGTCCGGTATCTCTTTCTTTCTCTCTCTCTGCCTCTACTTCCCTCATTCGTTCATTCTGTGGCCTCGAGGGTTCGCCCGCAGATTCTCGGAGAGGTAGGGCTTTCTGTGGGCGCCGTGCGGCTATGCCCTGCCATCCCTCTGCTGCTGCTGCCACTGCCGCTTCTGGACGGCCATAACATCGAGATAGCAAGCCTGAGCAGACTGAAGCAGGCAGCAGACAGTGAGCGGAAGGCCAGGCTCGGGGGCTGAATGGGTCCGTCCTAGGCAGCCTTGAAGAGCGATCCGAAGGTACAACGATCTCTTCCTTTTCGAGTGGGATTGATTCCTCCTCAATCACCGTCCAACCGAGTGAAGGCTCTGTTTGCAAGGTCCTGCCATTCGGCCAACTAGAGTCTGGACCATACAGATCACTCTGATCTGTTTGATTTGTTCTAACCCACCATCTGAAAAAACCACCACCTTTCTCAGCGTGTGAGTGAACGGCCAGTCAGGCCAAATCAAGTAGCTGCAATTCCCACTCGTTGGTTATCTGAAAGTACGTGCACGAAGCGAATCGGAAATCCCCCTTTTTGAGCAATATATTGCACACTTTTTAAAGGAAAGAATTAGTGAATGTGAGAATGCAAATGATACCTGCTGCTATTGAAGCGATGTGGGCCATGTGATGTGCAATTGCTTATCACGCTGCTGCTGATGCTACTCTATGAGGTGGCGTGCGCGCTAAGATGCGATGATGAGGTCGGTTTTAGAGTACCGCGTTGCGCTATGGTCGAGTTTCTTCTGCGGTTGTTGAATATATGTGCAAGCACAGATAGTGCATAGTATTGAAAAGTGGACGACTGGTAAATGAACTAACTGCGCGCCGGACTGGGACTGACCGCGTAAGAAGACAACAAAGCTGAGCACCGCCGCCATTATCTTGATCGCGATTTGAGGGCCCGCGCGGGCCCCGGGGGCTATGGAGCTCTCGCGTTGCCGCATCCGCCGCGCGGGCAGCAACGCCCTCAAAAACTGTAAGTAATCTATTAATCACCCAAATGACATCTATTTGCTGCAAGATTAAGGCGTACCTGTGTCACAAAAGGCAAGCTCACCTACGGTCAGATTGACTGCTAATGAGAGAGGGTGCAAGAAAAGGTGAAAGAATCGCCCATAGCATAAAATCAGATAATCTATGCAGGGGTTTCTCATATGCTATAATCATTATTTGAATTGCAACAAAAAGAAGAGCAAGAACGTCGCAGTGTTCTCAAGTTCACAACGTTTTTTTAGTTACTAGTGAAAATTCCAGTAGAAAATATCCATAAGCTTCGTTGCTTTTGATTGAGGGAGCAGTGGTACAGGGCAAGGGCAGGCGGACTGGGTATTCAGTCAAGGGGAGTCAAGGGGAGTGGAGGCTAGAGACCAACCGCTGACGAGTCGCTGATGAAGGCGACGTGACGAGAAACAAACACAGCAAAAACCATCCCAGAAGTCCAATCGACGTTAGACTCGATTGCCGCAGATTATACATGATATTATAGCACACGAGGGTACAAATCCAAATATAGCAGCAGTATCGGCTCAACGTACTGCTTTCCAAACGTAACACCGGCAATCTATCTTGTACGGTTAGGACAAAAGATTATGTCCAATTTTAGGGAAGGCTTTTTTTCTAAGCGCGTGGAGTTCGCTGGGTAATTTATAGTTTTGTTGGGGATTAGAATGCGTGTAGGACAAGAATTCAGTTCCATCTGGTTTCAAGGGATTAACAGTTGCAAGGTAAGCCATCCAATACATTTTAGAATCTGCTGTTTTTTAGATAAGTGGACAGCTCATTTTCAAAATATGTACCCAACAGTCTAACAAATTAAAAGTAGAAATTGTCCTTAGGCGAAAAAAATTATTTTTAATACACACTTGACTCCATTGTAGCTTTCAATTCATTTCATAGAAGCTGGGTAAAACGTGGTCGATTGTGGCCAAGAACGACAAACCTATAGAAACACAATGTATTTATTGTATTTACATCGAATACGTATTTTAGGCTTTAAGACCCTAAAGGAATGCACAGTCGCATTTTAAGTTGAGACGAGGTCGTGTGATGTAGGCACGTCTCTGCTGAGGCTATTAAACGGAGCTGTACCGGGCTGCACGTCGCGGCCATTGTGTAAAATACGGGGATGCGCAGAGTGTGTCTTACAAGCCCCAAATTAAGTGCTCCTTCGTTGTTCGCTTTTCAGGGGAAAGTTTGTAATTCGTTATTTTTGCTTTTCTTTTTTGATTTCCTTTTTGCATCCCTTCATGGGTCCTCTCGAGTTGTTTTCCATTCTCACTAAACACCATGGTCCCGGTTTCCTTAACGCAAACTTCTTCCATGCGGCAGCCAAACAACAGGGGGTGGAAGAGCCCCCATAGGCAGTGAGGAAGAGATGTTGTTAGTGCAATTCCTTCCCTCTTGTCCATTTTCCTGCCTGAACTATTCAGCTTACAATTGTAATTTATATTTCCTTTTCTACGGGGGACCCAGGAGCATTTCATTTATATATAAGATATGCATCCAATAGCGAGATTTAGAATTCCAGTGTCACGTATTATTAAAAAATGGTGTTTTAATAAATATTCTGGCACCAAAATATTATTGGTAAATAGTGTAATATATCTACAACAGGACGACTGTTCTGTGATCATCATGCGTATCATAAAAATCTAGTGTCGTCATCTAAAGTCTTTTAAAGACGTCTTTTCGACTAGAGCCGAAATGCATACTAAAATACACTAAGCGGAATTATATAAAGTCTAAGTTAAAGAAACTATAGAAAATTGAGTTTATTTCATGGTACATTCAAGTTTAGCAGTAACGTCGGTGTTAAAGGAAACTATCAGCGTCATGAAAGCATCGTAGAGTCGTTACAAATAAGGTATTCAGATGCGTCTATTAGCCGCCGAAAATGATAAACAACTTGAAACAACACACAACGTTCGCCAACAAGATTGCAAATATCGGACTGTAAGACTGGAATATCATATATTTTTTTTTATAATCAGCTTCTGTGCTTATTTACAGAACCCTAATAAAGTTTCTTTGCAACTTTACCGTGAATCAAATCGCTAACGTACAAACCAAAATAAACCGCCTTCTAATGTACTTGATCGGCTTCTTGCTTTGCATCCGTTTAGTAGAACTATCGACCTTCTGCATGTAATTTAAAATTATGCTCCTTAACCTAATAACTATGCTATTCGAATGTCCTGCTAAACGAAACACTTCATCCGGTCGTCACTGCACCTTTACTGGTTCGGTTTACAGTATCCCTCAGTAGTTTAAATGGTTCAGGGCAGAATAGACATTTTTTTCTAAACGAGCATATGACTCTAGAAAAAAAAAAGTTAGGGACTAGCTAGTTCTCTTGCCTGGAAAAAACGTTGCTATCGTTGGGTGTAGGCACAAATGTATAATTAATTGATGACATTGATGCCAATCGCCTTGCTATCTGCAGAAAGCCAACTTCCTTAATCCACCACCAGTTCCTTTTCAACTAAGTCTCCATTCCAAGGTCGGTCAAGCAATTGTTGCTTTGCCACTGCAGCGTCACGTATTAGCTTTTCAGCACCCCTAAAGCTTGGTTAGCATCTTTAGTGTGTTTGCAGTTGAGTATCACTTCTTTCAGAACAGAACAGAAGTTGCGTGCTGCACGTATTAGGTAGCACTTTACTATATTCCCTGTGGAATTATTACTCTGTTAGCTCGCTTACCTTAGAAAGTAGCATAGCTTAGAGTGGCCGTAACAGACTGATTCGCACTTTGCGTAGCGTTCCACGCAAAATTATTCTCAATTCAATAAGTTATCCTTTCTGTTTCACCTTATTCATTAGAATTTAAATTCTCTGAATAATTTATAGATGAACATTCTAGTTTGGCAATTAATGGCTCGGCAGAAGTGTACCAATGTCTAGATGAAATACAGCACCATTGTCGTAAGACGTTCAATATCCTTAAAATGCTGGGTCCTTGAAACATTCATTTGTATACTTTTTTAAAAGAATGACAGCCAATCTACTATATTAGAGAAAGGATTCACCTGACGCTACTTGAAGAAAAAAAATTGTGCTTTAGGAAAAAAAATATCAGGAGGAGGAGGAGAAATAAAGCAGTACATTGCAGTAGACTGTTGAAACACTAGAAGTGTAAAATGTACAGTCAAGAGAAGCTTGTGGCCTTGTAAATATAATTGAAAGAAGCAGTAAAAATAATGCATAAATTATCAATGTTAACTGAGGGACAGGTCCTGTAATATATTTATACAGATGTGGAATCAGACTGCAAAAGAAGCAGACGCATAGTAGAGAAAGAGGCAATTCGTATGATGGTGCTTATGTATAGGGTAACTTGAAATATAATTGATGCCATTTGCTTATAAGTTGAAACTTGAAACAGATTTTTTACGTGTATCAGCAGGGACATCACTATTACGTGTTTATTAAATGTCATTTTCTTCGATCATGGCTTCAATAGGATGTCTAACACGTTTACAAGCCATTTATAAAAATTCTTTCTCCAAATCTGTGGAGAAGTTATAACAAATATAACCGTGCGCGTAACTGAAGTCTAATTTGAACACGCTAGGCACAAAAAAGGTTGGCAGATTTAAATGTTGGGCTGACAGTACACCGCAAATCTCAAAAATCCGAGGGTTCGAAAGACCAACCTGCTAAAAGACGCAAACGCTTTAAGTAACCGTCAAGATTTATTTGAAGGACTGGATTTTTGATACATATTATTCTTTCAGAAGCAATCTCTAATTTTTGCAAATAATTACTAGATCATGAGAAATGCATTTTCGTATGATTTTGATAAGTATTTTAGCCCTCCTTACACAATCACTATTATAGGTTTTCCGCTTTGAAAAATAATTCCCCGGACTCTTCTTCGGAAGACGCGTAAGCATAGCAAGTCGGGATCGCTGACCGAGAGCAAGAGGTAGTTCATAATCTCTGTGGCAGTCGGTGCGGCAACATAGCTTGGCAATAACTGACCTTTGCTTACGTTTTGGACACGAATTTCTTGCCTTCTCTACAATGTATGCATGGGTTTACTTTGGGAAAACTTGAGTGTGTTCTGGATCCAAAAATAATAGAAGAGCACATTGCGACTACACATAATATACCCTCCGAAACATGCCTCAGTTTAACGCGCATACCTTGTGTGTTTATTTATGTATATACCAGCACGTTCATTCGGTAGCGTTTGAGTCTATGAGAAACTCTTTGAGTTGATTAGGGTTCTGGGCCTCTAATTTACAGCATCATATTTTCTCGCCAAAACTGCACACACGAAGCTAAACTAAGCGACTTTAAAAGTTTCATGCTCACCCACTGTGTTACGAACTGTTAATTGAGAACACGGGAATCGCTGACACGCTGCATCGTGATCATGTGATCATTTATAATTTATCTTTCATAAATTAACTCGTTAATTGCATAATAATACGCTGCTGCCGACTCTAACATCACTTCCCTATATTGCTTTTGTTAACTGTCTGCTCTTATGGTCCAACCTGTTTGCTGTTATTTTAACAGTGGTTGGGGTATGAGTGGCAAGACTGCACTCGAAAACTAATCTCACCGCCCTCTAAAAAACTTCACAATAACTTAATAGCTCAATTTGTAAGGGCAAGAAAGACACGCGCCCTTTAAATTAGCACCTATGGAAAATAGCAGTATTTTCTATGATGATTTGGTATGATGATTTGGAGATGATAGTCACTTGCATAGAACCTATAGACGAATTCATTAAAAGCATGCGTTGCTCCAATTGGATATTTAGTCATTTTAAATAAACCTAAAGTGCAAGCCATTTACAACTACTCCTGACATATTTAGCGTTTGCATAGCATACACTTGGGAAGGATAAAAGATAATTACAAAATGTAAGTGATATATACTTGAATCATATGTGATAGAAAAACGATTAATTTTTTGCAGTGTTTCTGATATTTGATACGATAAGCTAATCGCAACAATAATAATGTATCGAAAAAAAATTAGGTTGGAGGAAGTTATGATTAACAAAATCAAAATATTTACTATATTCCGCAGCAGTGTTTCACCAATATCTATGGGCAAGAGACACTGTGGAAATTATCTATTCTCATTGTATATCGCTTGTTACACCGTAGCTGAAATTCAGCTACAAATAGGAAAGAAAACATTTAGTAACCTAAAGTAATTATCACCTAATGGATTAGCCTTCTCAGCTAGTCTAACTAAGAACTATAATATGTTCTAGTTTTTTTTATTTCTTAAATGATAGGTTTAGATAAATCCAGAAAGTGTTCCATTCAGGGCTAATGGAATGTAACCGATTGGATTGCATCATTTAAAGCAAGTATGGTGTTAACAATTGCCCTTATGTGGTGAAAATGATTTTTTGGAACCGCTTGGAACTTCTAACGCCTACTAATCATCAATTTATAATGCTCACATCTAGTAAGCGAGTAAAGCAGTATAAAACTTTTCTTTTAAAAACCATTGTACACCAATCCATAATCAAATCCAGGTGTTTAAAACTGGTAAGAATACGGCCCATTTGAATTGACAATTTTCAATCGACTGGCACAGTACGCCGGGATGGATTTACTAAAATATTACTTAGAGTAAATGTCTGAACTGCACACAATGTGTGAGTTAATTGTATTTGTTTAAAAATACCAATCAAATATTAGGCAGGTTCAGTTGATGATTTTGCCATAAGTGAGTTAGACATGCACCACTCAAATGTTGTAAATCTGTGTATACACTTTGTTACTGATTGCAGGTTTCTACTGTACGGTGGGGCTTATATGGGCGGATGGGGACTGCGTTTTCATCACGCCGCTACAGCCGCCCAAAAATGCGGTTGTACCTCATGGAGGCCATGGAGGCCATGGAGGCCACGGACAAGTGCATTTTTGTAGACATCAGGTGCTCGGACTCTTTCGAATCGTGCACGGACTTTGCTACTCCAGCCCTAAAAAGTGGCCTCCATACATCTCGGGTATGGCGAGTACCAATTTAGTCCAACTGCGTTTTAATGGCTATCATTAAATCACTCAATTACAGCTGCTGATCTGCTCCGAAATCAGCATGGTCGAGATGGAAACATAACTACACCAAAACTCCTTTGCAGCTTAGTTTCCAAACCTTATAAGATGTCTATTAAATACGCTTATTAGGTGCCTAAAACCAATACTTTTGCTGAAGGTATGCAATGTATTGAAAACTGTGTCCAAGATATTGCGGATATTTAGGGATCTTAATATTAAACAACTTTAAACAACGTCTAAATAGAGTATTACAATAATATAAGAAAAACAAACCTTAATACTGAATACAACTTTTCTTATGGATGCCCCCTTTAAGTTACAAAGTATATATTTTGTTGTTTACATTAGTGACAATAGTGTAAAAAATACTCTATAAAGTAGACACGTCCTGCATAGTAGTCATAGACACTTACAGATATTGCGAACACTCATTTACCTGACCAACCTACAGCTTTGGTTACATTAAAAGCTGTAAAGTGTGGAGAACAACGCTACGCAACTGCTACCGTATCACATATAATTTCGAAAGAATCGCTCAAAATAACTATTTAAGTACTATTGGTTGTCTTGAAAGAAACAATAATATCTGAAGTCGGCTGGTATTAAAGCGAATTAAGCTTGGCGTTTCCGATGCCACTTGCGCTTTGACGCACTTTACTGTGCATTATATAAGTAAGAGATATATAATTCCAAGAAGATGAACAATAGAAAAATATTACTGTATTGAAATTTGATGTATCGGTCATAGGTTGTAGAGTAAAAGCTTGACATAGAGGTTAATCATGTTTTTCAGTTTTGGCTGAACGCGTAGATGATGGCTCCCTGGAATTATCCATTTGGCGGATGAATGGCACGGTGGGAGGAACGCTTTCTTTTTCGAAATGGTAATCATCATTATAACCATGCTAATGAAGCCATGATCAAACTGAATTGACTACTCTTTTGCTCAAAATTTATTTACAATAATTTAGAAGGTTTTATAAAACGTGCATTCAAGTCACTGCATACACACCTCTAAGAAATGTGTGCCAATTCATTGCAATCAAAGCTTGCTAAAGTTTTTGATATGAAGACCGCGTTAGATCTCTGCGCTATTTGGGTGGCATAACAACTGAAACATCAAATCGTTAAATCGTACTTCATATTAGTAAATATTTTTGTGTATGTTATTAACTGTTTTTCAGGTGCGTGCTGGCACTACCTCAATTACCAGTCCTTCAGGGATATCTATGGCACCCAGAAAGGGACGTATTTTGTCTTGTCTTTAAGGTAATTAATAATTTGAAATATTTATTACTTTCATGTCCGATACCGTTATTTGACATTCCATCCTTATTTAGAAATACATATCACTCGATAGTATATGTAATACAATTGCAGACTACAGGAATTGATGTGATTTGACTTGGATTAGATTGCCTAGCTGACTTATTATAATATACGAAAGAATTAACCAACGGGGCGAATGTTACAGTTAATCACACGATCATTTAACAACAATCTGAATACGAATTTTTTTGTAACTCGTCAGTCCGACCACAAAGAGACGCATATGTGGATTACTGATAGAATCTGCTGAAACTTTTTAACATTATTTGCTATCAGGATTCCGCGCGAATCTACGTAATTAACGAGGAAAGTAGCGAACTGCAGGAGGTGAAGACTATTACGCCGTTCGCTGGCTCACGATTTGTCTGTGGCACCTGGAGCAAGAACGGGAAGAGACTCATTCTCGCCACGGAGTCCACACTCGTGGTAAGTTCTTTTATCTAGTGAAGACATTCGCTAGCATTTCAGCAATTTTAGACCAAGCAGAGATTTTATATCGATAAAAAAATGCTGGGCAAAAGGTGGCTGATGTACTTGTAAAAGGTAAAGAAAAAACCTTCTGTATACCTTGTTTACTTTAATTTACTACTTCCTACTCTTATTTAAGTACGGTTCGAACTCAAGCTAAGCAATCCTAAAAAGGGCGCAATAGTATTCTTCACAGGAACTCTTAGGGTTTTTAATTTTTTCTTATTTCGGAGTTTTATTCTCTATAACACCTAGTCTTTAAAAGGGAAAAACAAAAGGGCTGATTTACCAAATGCTGTTTCATTTTCTGACTGCAGTTCTACAATATCCCGTGCGCGGACATGGAACAGGCGGAAATGGAGGTTATCCTGGGTCTGGAGCGGGTGTGTTGTATCGAAAGTATGGAGGGTGAACGTTTTGTGTGCACCGTCGAGCTACCAATGGAACAAGTGGTTGTACGCAGTCGCTCTGAGCGTTGTTTACTTGAACAGCAGCAACAGGCCCACTCGAGGGGTGAGTCTAAAACGACAAGAAACAAGGACTTCCAATAAACGGCAGGGCGCATGTGTTTTCATGCAATTGCTAGTATATTACTAGTTTGCTCTGAAAAAATGAAAAATGTGAAAACAAATAAAAACTTGGAAAAAGAAATCAAACGGAAAAATCCTACTCACATTAGAATATTTAAATGTTTCTACTTTTAAAATAAAAATTACTTTTACAGATTGTCATTGCAAATATTTTAAAATTTTACAAATTGCATCGCTACATTTGTTGTTGTTAGCGTTGGGAAATGGCAGTAAGCTGAGAGATTTACTTAACTGAAAATTGTTCCATTAAAAGTTGTATTTGTAGCATATGGTGCAACTATAGATTTAGTTGAAAATAGTTCGCATTATTATGAAACGGTTGTGGGGAATGATCCCAAAAAGCTAAAGTCCTGAAAACTTGTGTACTATGCGCATTTCCATATTCAATTAGATTGCCATGATGCAAAACCTTTAGAAAGCGTTTTTTTGTCAGGTGGTTTGGACGCAATTCTTAGCATACATTCTGACGGAGGAATTGAAGGTGGCTCTCAGCTATTTTTACTCCAGTGGAATCCCGAGACGGATAAACCTGAAGTACGCAGTTGGGACGAATTATTTGGTGAGTGGTTTCCTTCTGCATTTCATGCACTTCTATAATAATACAAAGGAAACGTTGATGGTATTCGTCACTATAATCGCAACTAAGTGAATACTTGCAGAAACGGTGTCTTTATCGATGAATAAGTATTCACAAGTTGGGTTCTTTGTAAATGAAAAAGAGTGGGACATTTTGATGCTGTGGAACCTTTTATCGGATACAAAGGCTCTTCGCCTTGTTTCCCATAAAGAGACCAAAAATACATTTAATTAATGGCCTAGACAAATTAAAAGAAAAATATAAAGTATTTGACTGAGAAGTTATAATTGTTATATATGTATGTATGTATTGTGTATATATATTCAATTAACATCTAATTCAATAAGAAATACCGAAAACTATCACTTTCATAAATTATTATTTTGTGCCGGTTGTATATAATGGAAAAACAAAGCAGTTTTCACTGACGGACTGTAACTACCTAAGACATATAAGAGGGGATAAATAAAGCGAATCGAATATAGTTTCAGAATTGAGTTTTAATAGTGTAAAATAGTTTGTTTAAATTTCTGCATATTATAAGCGTATTTTGAAAGGTTTCTTTAACCAGACAATACGCGTTTTCAATTTTCCAACTAAAGAGCCTACAATGCGATTATTTCGCACACAAAAACGCATCGAATATAATGATTCAATGTTTGAAACTTGAAATCAACTGTGAGACGCACCATATAATCATTTTCATTGATCAAAAATTATTATACGTGAAATTATAACATGGGTTATGAAAGGATGGTTTTTATACTATTTCTTAGATTATTCGTTTCGTAAAACAAGCAACTCAAGATTTAAGGTATGGGCTTACCTTAAGAATATATAATTACTAGTCCTCAGTTGCAGATTTCATCGTAAAATCCTAACAATTATAGTGTTTGAAAATATTTTTTTTCCACTAGGACTAGCAATTATAGCATACTGAAATGATAAGCGGACTTTACAGTTCTTCAAAATGGAAATGTTTATTTGAATAAAGATAATTGTGTTGTATTTCAATTATTACCCCGTTACAGTTATCACTTAATAATTAGTCATACTAATTATTAACGACAATCAAGCCAAGACGAATAATTATCTCTACTTTTGAAAGATGGGTTACAATAACTTATTAAATATTTTATAAGTATACGTAACTTTTATTGTGAAACGTGCTTAACCAGTACAGATATTATTTTCTAGAAAAAAAGCTATATTATCAGTTTTGAGCGCCCTATTATGGTAAGGAGTTTTAGCCATTTAACCGCTCCTTGTTATTTGTGAGCTAACAAAATATGTGGATACTTAATCTTTATGAAAATATGCTATACAAATAATAGCTTTTTACCCTTATTCAGGTAGAAATAGGGTTTATTGACGAAGGAATGCCATCGTTATTAACAAGCCGTTGAAGGACCAATTTTTTTACTTTTTGAAGTGTAGGAATCATATATATCCTTCATAACGCACTGCGTTGATTGAGACGATTCAACATTAATTAAGGCTAAATACGGAGCCACGCAGGGTTGGGGAGACATTTCAGATTTGAATGTTTAATAGTAAACATCGATCTAAAAAATGCTGATTATAACCAATGGTAAAAAGAATAATTTAGCCGCTCTGATGTAATAATATTAGTTCATAGAAGATTATAATTGGATACTTTATTCGTCGTCTATAGGATTTAATGCTTACTGTTTGCTTTTTAAAGTTTGTAATATACAATATTCCTCATATGACACCAAACAGAGAGTTTAGAATGTAAAATTTTGTTTTGCAGGCTGTAGTTACCATGTTTAAATCGCTGAGAGTGTATTGAAATGTAGAATATAGATTTATTGTAAGGATTTGAAAATAATCTGAGCTACACCTGCAGCTTCCTGATTCAAATTATGTGAAAGCGCAAATCTGAGGTATATGATAGTGATTTCAACCGAAAACCGTTATGCAAAAAGCCTTATATTGCAGCAATACTCGATTTTTAAGTGTAGTACCGCGGTTAAGCATTTTATCACACAGCTAGCTCTGAGCAATAACCGAGGTGTTCATTATCTTCGGATTCAACCCTTACATTACCATGTGTCTCTTAAGTTTATGAAGCGGATACGCTACCCGCTATGCCATTCTCTGTACAATATTTACTGTAGTTATACCAAAGCGTCTAGCTTCCAGTAAATGAATCTTAATGAGAACGACTTTGCACTTTGAGAGGGCATGAAAAACGGTTAAAAGTGGCTCGTATGATAAAAAAACATAGCAATCTATAAATGAATTACGAGACCTTACCACCGCGCACTTATGTCAGCATCTGCACGTTGTTAACTAGTTAAAAGCTGTTGCCTAGAAATCGCGTGTCTCATATATAACCACAGTTTATTTAAATGTTTTTGTTTAATTTTAATTTAAGCTAAAACCTAAATTACCTTGGCAATATCTATGCAATCTAATTAATTTATTCGATCTGTCAATATAGTTTCTGCAAAACTATTATTGGTTTCGCAAAGTATGTATATCTTTTCTTACTTTATTACATAGCCAGAGTAGTTTAAATTGACACCAAAGGTTGTTAAACGATTTAAATAGATTTTATTTCAATGTTTAGAATCAGATATAGTGTACATCATTGTGTATTCGCAGCTGATACTTACTGTCTCTTACTACACGGCTTATAACATCAATCTTATATCCGCCTTCACTGGTAAGAAGGCGCCTGATCATCGTACCTATTTTAATATGGTCGCTTTACGCCTGTTTTTAATTCTGCGTACAGTCGAAAGCCGTTAAGCTCGTTCAAAGTATCCTAATGAAAACATTTATCTATTGATCAATCCTATTTTATAAAGAATTCAGTTGAAAAGAAAAAGTTTATAAAGTTTCCACAGAAATCAGTATTCTAAAAAACTTGAGCATCATTTCGGTACCAATAGCAAATATTTTTACAGGAAATTATCAGCGTTATATTTTGAGGGCTGTTTGTAGAATTTTTACCTGATTGACCCATCCGCCATCACAAACACAGATTACGCTGCTACGATAAAACCGGAGATAAAGCGACTTTGAAACAACTCTCTTAGAGCTTGCCGGGTACCTGACAGAAGAATATATGTACAATATAGTTAAACAATTGCTCATCACTTCACTCATTGCCGTAGTAATACATAGGTCTTTGACATACTTCTCTTCCTATGTTGTGCTAATCTTTATACCAACAGGTATACTATCTCCGGACCTATTAGCAGTTGAGCCTTCTACGGGGCTTATCGTAGTTGGATCCAATTTATCGCACACACTTTATGTCTATGGTGTGGCCGACGAACAGCTTGAGAAGCTGCACGATATTAACCTGCCACGTGAAGAACGACCAAAGGGCGTTACGATACACAACCAGGAGGCGCTGTTGATGATCGCCAAAGGGGTAGTGCCGGACGATCGACTTCCGCTAAATCCGTTACCCCGCCCGGAGTTCATAGAGTACGAAGTACTTTTGCAGTCGATCCCATTGTCGACGGGCTCTTCGTCCGCAGCTCCGTCCGCCTGCACCCTTCGTACTCTGCTTGGCCAGCACGCTAAAAGTTCTGTATCGCTAGATTCGACGATCTCAGATGGAGGGCCCGGCGTGCGGGCCAGAGCGGCATCAACGGCCAGCTCGAGTCACATGCTCAACAGGTAATAGCAGCTCGTAATAATCGACAATCTATTTAACTGTTAAGCTACTGTTTATGAGCTGTGAAGTATTTACTTTAGAAGGTTTATTCTTATAATATATAGTTATTATAGCTCCTTTCATTGATAGTCATGTTGCGGAGGAACGTTAAAATCTTGTTTTTACAGTTTGGCCATCAAGCGATATAGACATTTTGAGGAGTTTAGAGCTGTTTCCTCAATCAAGATGGCCTGTGTTATCTTCTTCGCATGTTTTAAGGGCCCACCACGTAGACGGTGTGCTCCCGTTGGGAAGTGACTCGCAGCCGTCGTCCACGATGACTTGGCCCCGCGGTCTGCTCGGTGATCTCAAGACGCATCTTCAACAGACGAGCGGTCCGCCACCTCAACGGCCCATGAGCGCCCACGCCAACCATCACCACCACCAGGGACCGGCTGCTCATTCTTCGCACTTAGGTGCCCAGTCCGAGGGACATCTGGCGGCATCCGCGCCACAAGGAGGTTAGAAAACTTCATTAGAAACAACCAGCGACGTTTACAATAGGTACACGCATGTAGTAATTCGAGTTCGGAAGTTGCTTTCAAGCATAACAAAGGAACCGACATGTGGGACTAAACCGAACGGCAAATCATTATATTTCGTGCTTGATATTGAATTTCACCGCAGGCAAACTTCTGGATGACCTGAACAGTCTGCTGCACTTTCACGACGGAGTGCGTGACTCGAACCACGTGACAAATGACATGATGGATCTGCAGTCGCTCTTATCTGGCGCGGGGATCTCGTCGGATGCCCTTGGAGCTGTTGGAGATGACCCCGATTATCGGAAGCTGGCCGGCTTCCATGAAGAGTTATTCAAACGAGGATCCCCCGGACATGATCTGGGGACGGTACGACAAGATATTCATACTTACAGGGCAACTTTTATAATTACCTGCAAAGAATTTAAGAATTTATTCTCACATGGACATTAAGGTTATGTCTGAACTTCTTTAGTATTGCCATTGACTTCTCACTCGCCTAAAAACATTGTAACTACTTCCATAAATTGAAACATAGTCAGAGCCCCAGGTCTAAAGTCCACATAAAACGAACTAATCTACACCGAAGCATGGACAAACGTTTTTATGCAATATCCGATTATCATATAAGTGTTTGTTTATATCATCTTCCCAATTGTTTCACTTGGTATCTTTTAGTGGAAAGGTAAATTTAAAACGAGTGGAAGAATACGGTTTGATCAGAGACAAGTTTTATTTTTTAAAAACAAAGGACAAATTGAGCATATATCATCAGAATTATTATTTTGTACCGTTCGTATTTGAGTTTACCTTTTTTTTCAATCTCATACCGATTCTAAATCTTCAAGAAAAGATCAGAATTCTCGAAATGTTATTTTTTTTTCTATAAATACGAGCCTTCATTACTCATCATCTGCTTTCTTTCAAATTTTGATATGACAATTTTCCGTGTAAATTAGGTGGGAGCGGATGTGCGAAGGAACATGGACCGAGGGAGCCACACACTTCCTCGGGAGCACGGTCGGGATCGAGAGAATCACCAGAGGTCGGACCCGTACCCCGGAGACAATGGAATCTCCGCCAATAATGCATCCAACTTCAACGCTATCTCTGCCCGACTGGTACATTCACCCTAGTATATGTATATACTGATTTATTTAAAACTGAAAACTATTTTTTGAGTCACTCGGATCCACAAGTTACAGAACTTTAACATAATAAAACAAATTAATCTTTCCCATCATACATAAAGCTGATATATAATTACGGCAACGCATACTCTCAACCTCGATATAAATGCCGAAAGGGAGCTATATTTTTTCGTAAACCGTGGACATTCTATTATATAATTGCACCGATTCTGGGTTTTCTGGGCCTGTGTGAACTACTATCACCAACGTAAGATATTTATCCTTAGCGCTTGAAGAAAACTTCTAGTTGGGTGACAATCTTCGGTTGCAACGACTTAGTTTTATTGCTTTGTTGCTGCCGATTGACAGGTCTCCCTAGAGGACTCCCTAACTGGGCTGACACGCACACAGGCGCGCGAGCTGCAGGAAATTAAGAACGAGCTATCAGCAATTCGCCGCCTGCTCATCTCAGTGCTGTTCCACGTGCTGCCGGGAGAGGCGAGATCGGACGCCGTGTCTAAGTACACGTAACACTGCTGTAATTCAACCTATATTTCAGAAAATACATTGAAACGAGAACCCGGCAGTAACAATAGTATTATAACAATAATGTTAATAACGGTGGCAATAATAACAACACCTAACCTCAGCCTCTACAAACCTCTTCTTTAATTACGGCGAGTATGTGATGAGAGTTGCCACCAGAATCAAGTATTCTACTTTAGCGAAACGAAGAAGTCCTGTTGCACCAAGACTTTGGGTGGGCAAGTAAAGGCGACGCGACATACACAGGTTACCATAGCTCGACGATTACAGGATCGAAACACAGCAAATCCGGAACACCCCAACGGCAGCCTGGAACAGATTAACCGAGTGGATCTCGAGTCAGACCTCTTAAGGGAAACACCCCGCCGCACTAAAACAGTCAAATGCATGCCGATTGAATAATAATAACGCCAAAATTAAATATCGCGTCACAGCATTCACCAGCTTATCTTAAAAGCGCTGATGATTCCACGAGCTAAGGAACAGTGCTCTGCTAAACATTATTATTCTCCAGCGTTCGTTTCCCTTTACACCGCTCATCAGCCAGCAAAGTGACGAAGTTCCAGAGAATAGCATGTCTCGTGCTACTAGACATGCTATTCTTTCATCGTAGTGTAAATAGCGAACAGCAATAGCACCAAAAATGAGCATATTGGTTGACTAACATGATCGGGGATTAGTCAACCTGCTTGTAAGATAGGATGTAGCCTTAAATTCTATTGCAGGTATATGTTACTCTCTGGCGGCAGTATGCGAGCGATATTTCCATTGGAAGGTAGTGAATTAACGCGAGCTTATTATTAATGCCTCCCGATTTGTAGCAACATGAGGTCAACTGAGACAAAGAACGGAGATACTGCGCTGTTTTTTTTTCGGTTATTTCCATGACACTCCACAAAGTGAGCCCTATAGTATATGATCGGATTGCGGTCAAACTCGCTTCTTGATAACAACAACAGGATGAGGGTTGCAGTATGGGCAAGCAGGTTTCTAATCTGAATATGATGCGAGAATGAAGTACGCTTAGCACACTTATTCTCTTCTCGACTATAAGTCTTGCTAGATTTGTCTGCTGTGTGGGGTTTGACCAGACGAAGGGGTAACATTCTTTTCGTTACTAAAGTGTTACAGTTCGTCGTGGCCAAGATAAGGTTCTGGCTAGTTTCGAGAACAAGTGCATCATTATAGCAAGCATCACTTAGCGACAACTATAAAAAGAGCACGGAGGAATGCAGAGGCGTATATATTTATAAATATATACAAAAAGTGACTTGCTTATGAAAGCTTGAGAAGACATTTGACCACATAACAGGTGACGACTGACGCAAAGATGCCATAAACGTCTTCCTCGTGCCAACGCAGCGGTCAGCAAGAGTCCGGGCGGAAAGCATCGAAGAAGCCTCATAACTATTGCTCATTAATAATACCGATGTTGAATGAATGAACAAATGAATATTCCGCTGAATTCCACTACAAAACCTATTAGAGTGACATACATTTCGTAACAGGGACCGAACGAGCAACTACACAGCAGGGGGCACACGTATTATTATAGATATTATTATTTTTTGATGTTCCAGATGTTTGTAGAACGAAATTTACTATTAATTAATGTGTTTATGTACACACGCACACACACAAACATTATGCGATTACTAGCCTTTCACTAGCTTGCGGGGTTATTCTTAGTCAGCACCCACGTGCAGTCGTTTCATATGTAGTTTGCTTTTGTAACAAGACTCCGGTGATTGTGTGATCAGTTAGATGTTACTTCCTGCGTATTTAATGAACACGATGCCAGCTTTGTAAAGATCAACATCGCGACAACCAGTTCGTTTTAAGTTATGTAAAACAAAGTCTATGATCTGCTAGAGTTCTCTGGTCTGTCGTGGTCCACTTTTGTTACATGACTTTGTCGTACATAACGAAAATTACTGGAATAATTATTTTACAAACGATTATATTAATAGGTTGGCCCTCCCTTTACTCAATAACATCTGGTTAGGTAGAATTGTGTTAAATTGCAAGAGAGCAAATCTTAAACGTATATTTTAATTTTAGAGTGATAAAGTAAGAAAAACTGATAATTAATAATATAATAATTAACTCGATATAACAATGTTAGCGATTGAGCCTTTCAGCAATAGCATGACAATAACAGCACATACTAGCTTCGATTATCGGGTGAGTCTCTGTTTGAAAATACTTGAAATGCAGTCACAAAACATAGTAGTCTAAGGTATGTACAACCATTCCTGTTAGCGCTAACAATCTACAAGTTCCAGTGGGTCAGATGATATACACTCCTGCACACAATATGCCGTTTTCTGGCCACACTTACACAATTATTTACTTAAGCTGCAGCAAGAAAAAACCAAAAACTGCAGAAAACTGATGATTTAGTGGATCATCGTGGTGACGACGACCACGAAAATGGAGATATTGCTAATCTTATATTATAGTGATGAGCGTGATGAGCGATATGGGTACGTAACTGCGTTGACATTATAGCCTCGTCAGAAAGCCTAAACTTTTTGGCCTTCTGGATGACAAACTCAAGGATTTGCTTCTCACTTGAAAACTAGTTGTAGAACCCTGACCCTTAGTCAGATAAATATTTCTAAAATATTTTGGTGCCATAGGTTCTGTAGTCGTGTCTCATGTTGATTCTTAGCAACCGAGCCTAACGGCATGGGTATAATGAACAGGATCAACCAACATGCATTATGATTATATTATATTGGCAAGGAGCCTGTTGGTAATGGTAATGAGGTGTTTGGCGTGGACCGCAATCGTCGTCCAAAAAAACAGCGAAACATCGAAGACATGAGAGCTACTATTATTATAGTTATAAAATGAGACAGGCCTAAACCAATTTTAAAAGATGCGGAGGAAACTAAATAAGATATAAAACGACGACGCTGTTCATTGGCTACTGAGAGTGTTTGAAAAACAAGATTTTCAGGTCGGGCAGCGGGGCGTAAAGGACATAAGTAATTAACGGAGTTGAGTAAATTTTAAGGAAAAATGGCTTATGTCTGAAGCAGCTCGGCGGCAAATGATCAAATCTACTAGACATTTTTAGGTTTAATAATAAACTTAGTAAATAGAGAGTAATTATATATACACCACACCCATACACACATATACACAGAGCACAATAATAATATTTACTATAAAATAATATTAACTAAGTAAAATTGATGAGAATAATAACAGTGGAAATTATAATGACAGACAAAAAAGAATAATAACAATTATTACTTAATATTATTACGTATTATTATTAATACAATTTACTACCACTGATGACAAAATAATGAGCTAATAATATGGACAATAAATAATAATAATAAGTAACAAAACAAAGACAGAAAGAAGGAAATGATGGCAGAAGAAATAAAAACATAACAACACCTTGCAGTGACGGTGGTGGTGGTGTTTTCACTGTCGTTATTCTGTGCTCAGGCGGCGGGCTAGTAAAAAAAAAAACGAAAACAATAATCACAATCAGACAATAAATGCCAACAAGAGAATGGTACCATAGGTTCTAGCAACAATAAGTAACGCAAAATCAATGAACAAAAAGAAAAATTACATGCATACATGTATTCATACACATCCATATATCAATTACTGAACTGCTATTATTATGTCAACTAGCCAAATAGTATTATTTTCACTAAAAATATAAACCATGACTTGATAAACGAAAAACAACTAAATGCTATCTGATTATATAATGAGGGCGCTGTTTAGTCGAAAAAAAGAAATTCAGTAATTCTTTAAATATTCAGCAAAGGAAATTATCACGACGATAATTAGCAACACAAATTATTAATAATGCTATTATAATAATTCTTGTTGTCAAAGTTCAAATCGCAGGCTCGACTGATCATTCCAATGATCCAACTCAATTTATGAATCACATAACTTTCTAGCTTCCTTGACAATGATAAACGAATATTCATACTAAGAATAATTATTATTACTGTTATCAGTCAGTCGATGTATGCGTTGACCATTCAATTTCACTACTGACAACTGATATCTCACCCCTGCACCTCTTTGCCCCCACGGGACGTACATGACGTATAGAAAAATAATAAGAACAGCAACAAATCGGAAACGTGAAATAAAATAAGAAAGGACAAACACTAAGCGGTTTAAAAAAGAAAAGTAAAAGACAGCGTATGAAAAGAGAAAAAGAGAGAAGACAGTAAGTCACAAACGCAAACAAACAAATCGAGAAAGAAATAGAAAGGGGCAGAAAAGAATGAACTGAGTGCAAACGAGTAAATATTTGGAAGGCGATGATGATCCTGATGGTGATGAATGATCATTATGATTAATGATGAGTGATTATTAAGTATGACACTTGCAATGATGATGATGATTCTGATAATTACAGACGATAAAGGCGGCAAATAATAAAGCCATGATCATACTAATTGCATTATAAAAACAACAAGGAAATACTGATGACGGTATTTGGTTAATAACGATGATAATAGTGGGAAGACGCGACGGAAGTTTTCCAGGTAAAGTTAGCCGTGTAGAAAGGTGTATCAAGAGCGATCTGCGCAGAGAAATGTCATACACTTCACAATATAAAAAAAAGAGACAAAGATGTTTTACAAATGATACCGGTGGTGACGATTATACAGCTGAATATACAGCTCTCGTTGATTGTAACATTAGATGATTATTGAACTACAACAAATGCTACTAATTAAGCGAGTCGCCAAGCAACCAACATCAGTAATAATAATAACGATATTATTATATAGTAGTAAGCAAAATGAAAATATGATGTAATAGTGAAGAAATAAGCTGCGATTGCTAGTTAGGCTATTTATTATATAATTATTTCCACAAGATATGACGTTTACTTATACAGTATATATATTATTGTACTGTATTATTCAAGTATTCTACTAAATATGGTTACGTATCATTAGCATTGCAAAAACACAAACAACAAGAGCAACAACTACAATAATTATGCTTATCGAGAATAAGTATATTATTATTACCCACCAGTACAGACTCTAGCACTAGTAGATATGTTATTATTACGGTAAATGATAAATGTTGGATAACAGAGGGAAATCTCTAAAGTGGTCATCGACTTAAAGTGCGCCAAAATCGTAATGAAAGCAAGACACTGACGCCCGCCTTTCAAAACCGAGCGCTACAGCTTAACCAACTGCTTTAGGTCAATCGATGCCACAAATATTGAATCTATAACTATGAGAAAAATGAGCGCCTCTAATAAATTGTTATTTTTTGGGGAAGGAATACATTTGCGGATCGCATGACCGTCTATTGGAAACGTGGCCGGACCAAATACGGCTAGGCGGAGGCTGAACAAAGACAAAAGTCTTAGTGCCATTCAATACGTTCTATTTTTTATTAATTTAAATCAACGCACATTACGGGAAACCGGCAAAAAATAATTTTTACAAATATATCTGTAATACAGCAAAAAATGGTTTGTAAGAAGAGATTGTGACGTTCAAGATTAGTGACACCATACTTCATAAAGAGTTAATACGAGTTACCACACAATTTGGTAAGCTGTTCAGGTGTTTGGAAAATGTGAACTAAGTGACTAGTTTTCTGCGTCCGGAAACCGTACGCAAACGAACAATTGTTAAAAATACTTGTTTGCAACGACTAACTGATGATTGTCGATTACTTGCCAATTCGCTGATGCCGCGTCCTTATATATATATATATATATATATATATATATATATATATATAGTTATTTATAACGGATGTCCTAAAATGTTAGCTAAACCTTTCATATTTTAAAAGAACTATCTTTGTCATTCTTACACGTTTTCTTGTTTGCGTTTCGCTTTTCCGCCTGGCTGTCTGATTCAATGAGGACACTCAACGAACCGGGCGTCATTTCATCATAATTTGACTAGAATGGCAGTTTGGGATGCTCGAATGTTTGAAGTCAACAAGAATTTACCGAATGAATGGAACGGTAACGATTGCTCAAAAGTTTATAAGAAATACTGTTACAATAAGCTAGTACTAACAGGCCGAAGACACTTCAACAATAGAGTCGTGATACCAGAGGTAAAAAGACATTGAAAACTGAATGTGCACACATACACAAATACATATAGACAGAAAGAAGCAGAGAACGACTTCTACAGATAGAAACATAACTTAGTGTGGCTCTATCTAAGAACAAACATTGATCGAATACAGGCGTCGTGCAATTCACGTAAATAGGTAAAATACGCTTATATTATCCGAAAATAACGTTAGCCTTACTGTAACAGAGCGATGGCGAGTAATTAATCTTCTGCAAAATCCCTTTCAGAGGTAAATTGTCGATATAGTTAGGTTGTACTTTACTGACCATGGCCTCAGTGTCTGTTCAAATGAACGAAAAACGTGTCGAGTGGGTACGTAAATTATAATTTGCCGTTACTGCGTTCAAATGTTATAGAATCGACGGAACTTCAAATTATATTTAGGTAAGGATCCGAAGCAAGCTGCAACTGCATTATTTTCGATACGTGTGCACCTAAATATTCGGGCGATGTTTATGCGGATTTACAGCAGAACAGCATTATTTTAAAGATCGAGTATGTTGCGCTAGCTTGTCTTAAACTTTCTTTTGTAGTATGTATTGTTTTCTTTTATTGTTGTTGCGTCTAATTCTGTAGTAGGAGCTTGCGATGTACAAAGGAACTTGAGACACCCTTAAATATTATGTAATAGTTTCACAGAATTCGCTAACAATCTTCAAAACTAACCCTGAAAAGGCGAGTTATTAAGTTTAATACTGCCGATGGGCATTGCTTCAGACGGCTGGTTCCTCCCAGCTTGAAACAAAGTGTGCCTACGCCCGGCTTTGAATTTGGGCCGCCCTACAAGCACCTAAATTAACCAGACAAACACGACTCCAAAGCTAATTATGGCCATACAACACAACCACTGCACCAAGAAGAGCAACGAGACAACGACAGCAACAATCAAGTCAAGGTTATTGCTATTCCTGCAACAATGGAAATCAAGCTAAGCAAGCAAACATGACGCAAGCTGAAATAACATAATAATATAAACTAACATTCGAAAGCAGGAGAAGAGAAACGTCGAAGCTTGCTTGTGGAAAGTTACCTTGGCAGACGTATTAAATAATACGTGAACTCAGAAAAGAGGTACGGGAAACGGCAAAACGAAAGCCGGACGAATGATAAAGAGTTCAGAAAGAAAAGAATTCAGAAAAATGCAGAAAATAAGGTTATGATGGCTAAGTACATGATAACGTTTCAGCTTATTTGAGCAGGGTATTTTTTTAGTACAGCAGCTGTCTTGTAGACCATTCAAAACAAGAAGTTCTAAGAAATGACACATATTTGAGAAAGAAAGAATTTCATATGTCAATAACGGGATTTGAATGGGCACTGCTAATAAATCAAATCGCAAATAAAGTGAACGTAACTGGTATCGGCAAGGTCAGGTTAACTTTCCGCTATTATCACGCAAATATTCATTCAACGCTGCTGACGGAAATTCAGCAGAAATGCTGGATGTCAGTAGATTACCGGTTATGACGATAATAGCAGCATTTTTATTTGGTGTCTAAAAAACAAAGTATGTCGCAATAGATGCAATGTTTTCATATATAATTATTTAAAAACAGGCGATTTCCTAAAGTGAACTAGGTCCGAGAGTTAGAATGTTTAAAATAGCTCACTGGTGGTGGATTTCCAATCACGCAGTTAAGCTCAAGATGCTGGTTTAATTAGGTTCCAATAACGCGTTTTTCAAATGAACCGCTTCCCTTAAGTGTATATGACGCTTATAGCGCAACACAAAAGCAGCGAAAGAACCATCACAGTTATAACAATATATGAGATAACATTATTCATTGAAGAGGCTCAAGAAGACAATAGAAACAAAGGATTTGACTGCCACAAAATATAACGGCAGACATAACGTTAATGAAATATAAGTGAGTAAAAATGTTATAAAATGTACTGATTGGCATGTTGGAAAAACAATAATGAATAGTTCAGCAAAACGCAAGGAAGGCGAATTACAGAAATACTTCAGAAAATGAAACGACACAGAAGGGGCGTGACAGCTAAAGAGCGAAAATCTTAAGAACCAGGAAGCTGCTAAAACAAAGCGATCTTTACCAAAATGTTTATACACAAAGAAATGCATTAAAGAATGATTATGAGGTACATGAGTATTATCAACATTGTCATTTTCACTATCTGCTACTATGAAATTCGGGAACGATCGAATCCCTACGTTAGTGCTTTATACGACAGTTATTGTAGAAATTATTATGAAACTAATGGCAATATAAGTGACCCATAGAAATACCAACGTCAAACGCAACCACAAAGGAAAGAAAGTGGATAGGAAACACAATATGTAGTAGATTCATACATTATAGGAAATAATATAAACAACGCAGAAATGATACAACCGAGAAGTGTAAAGAACGCTGTCACTAATAAATAATACCTATCGATGTCTCACTATTATTGCTCTACCAATTATTGCATCAAGAACAACTAAACGGATAGCGTGCGCAGACGATAAAACTAAACAATAAACAAGAACAACAGGACCGTACAAAAATGCACAAAAACACAATCACCGTGAGGATAGAGAAAATGGAATCGATGGCGCCGACACTTTGTCACAACTTAATAGGGTAACACATACAGACAGACACATGAACTCATATACTTCTAAAGAAATATATACATTCCTCAAATGTGAATGAACGCTCCGAGAATAATGAGGGTAATGAAAATAATGAGACTAGACGGTAGAAATATAGTAGTTGCGTCGAAAAGACATGGGCGCTGCGAGCGAAAATCAGTGATTGAATAAAGCGGGACAGGAAATACAGGGAGAAGTACTTTTGGATTCGATCCGAAAGAAGAGAGTAGAGACGGGCTTGTTAGGTCATGACGCGAACGTACGCCGCCGTTTAACGATAGGAAAAATGGCCTCACTTATATTAATTGTCATTTGAATGATATCCCAGTAGATGATGAGACTTTGAGATGTGCATTAAAATTGCAACTTTTGGTAGTTGGCGGTATGCAAGTGGAAGCAGCGAAGCTCGGCTTTAGAGGTTAAGATGGTTAATTATGGATGGTGTTTCTTC